GACGATACATACATACATATATATATGTATGTATGTATATGTATGTATGTATGTATATATATAGTAGTTGATGTAGTTTGGATTCATTTTTGCTTCAACCAATTTTAGTAAAACAGAATATTTTGTGATCTAATTTATATTATTAATCTTCATTTCATGTTTAACAATAAAACCCAGCCTTGTGAAAATTCAGGAAATAGTTTATACTTTTTTGTTCATTGAACTACTGATTAAATTCATACTTTATAAAGTCCAACAGACTTGGAGACGGAAATGAAAGAAGGAAGAGGTCGGGGAACCAATAAAAAACAGGATTAACATGAATCTGCTTCTAGACCTGCTGAGATAGATAACCCGGCCCAGACCCAGAACATGACTTTGTTGTCAAACGTGAATCAAAACCATCCATCCCTTATCAGTTTTGGGTTTCAGGTTTCTGATGCTGCTGTTGTGTCCTTGGGCAAGACATTTGACCCTCCGTACCTGCTGGTGATTCCTGCCTCAGGACAGCAGTGGACGAAGGACACAACCTGAGAACTCTAAACTGAAACATGTTGGATAATGGCCCTCTAGGACCAGTTCTGGTCTAGGTTCATAGGAATTCTTGTCCAGAGCTTAGAGTCAAAACTTAATGAAGTAAAACATCATGTGGGGTTTAGTGACCTCAGCTGGCTAAGTGGCAGAATGCAGCCATTAGATACAAATCTATTCTAACTAATATTAGTTATTATCATGTTTACAACTATATCAACCCAAAAATTTGTCTACCACCGGAGAACTTAAGCTGGTTGTCATGGTGGTCTAGGGGTAGTGTCCACGCTGGGACTGGGAGGTCAAAGTTCAAATCCCGGTCGGGTCATATCAAAAACCTTAACAATGGTACCCTCCGCCTCCCTGCTGGACACTCAGCTTTTAGCGGTTGGATTGGGGGGTTAAACCAAATAGTTCCCGAGCGTGGCCACAGCTGCAGCTCACTGCTCCCCATGGGGATGGGTCAGATGCAGAGGACAACTTTCACCACAGACTATGACAACTATGGGACTGTAAACTGTAAATGTCTCTGACTGAGCCTGATGAACGGAGAGGAGAGGGCAGGAGAGAGGGGAGGGAGGGAGAGCTGGGCTGATGGAGTAGTTATGAGACGTGGCAAAGCAGATCTGTTCCACATGTTTCCTGGAGAGACACTCACACACACCCACACACACTACATTCTTCATTCACATGCATGTGTCGCCCACTGCCTGCCTCTCACTCAGCAGAAAGATGGAAGACCTTTTCATGTCCATGATGACATCCAGCTCCTACCAACAGTTGTAATGAGAACATCACATTATTACAAGACTTGTGGTTGCTACCACAGCTTGTGGTGACATCATACTTCCCTGATGATGGCTGTGGTCCTGCTTGACCTTTAGTGAGGCTCTCAGGGAGAGCCCAGCCACCCTGCGGAGAAAACTTTTCAGTCGCTTGTATCCGCATTCTCGTTCTTTCGGTCACTACCCAAAGTTCTTTACCAAAGGTGAGGGTTGGAGCCATGTTCATAAAAAAATTATGGACACAGCCCGACCATTGTCCCGCGGGGGCAGATTGAAGCAAAAAATAAGCGGTTCCCACCACTGATTTTTTTACTGTGTCACTCGTCTCGTCATGCCCAGAAAATGCTAAATTAGGAAAAGAGGTGGAGCTGATGGTGGAGCTGTTACGTTTCAAACAGGGTTGGAACAAATGAACCTAAGTAGCTTGTAGCTAACTTAGCTAACATGGGAAACTAAGAAGGGCTCCTGGGTAGCCCACCACATGACTGACTGGCTCCCGTGTGAGGCTGTAGTCATGCTGGTTTCCTGTGGAGATCTGATATGGACTGGGACTGTTAAATTACAAGCAGAGCCTCAGACCGCTGCGATCGTAGCCGGGCGTCCTGGCCTTTTACATCAGCTCATGCTTCACGGTCGGAAATCAGTGGGATATTAGCTACATGCTAACCCAAAGCTAATTTAGTTTTTCAAAGCAATTTTATCAAACAAAAATGTAAAACCGCGGTAGAGCTACTCCAAATGAAAGGCCCCTCCTACATGCTTAGTAACAGGGAAACGGGAACAGCCAGCTGCCTGCTCTAACAACTGTTCCTGGGCAGCAGACGGGAGAAGCTGGGCACCCGCTCAAGGTTCTTATCCATCCAGAAGCCCCACTAACATGTTTGACCCATCGACATATATACTTAACTGGACAATTTGTGTCCATAGACTCCAATTATAAGTTTTTGTGCCAAAATGGCCGTGACCGTGTCACAGGTTCCGTCAAGCCCAGACAATCCCAAAAAAGGGAAAAGAGGTGGAGCTGAGGGTGGGGCTGTAAGGCCTGGATCAAATGACAACACCCGTCGAACTGAAGCGAAGTAGCTACAAGCTAACCCAAAGCTAATGCGGAGGTGGGAGCTAAGCTAACGGAGGTAGCTACATAGCTACAACCGGAGTTAACTGTGCACACCAGAGCTTCTGAGTCACAGATACGCCGGGCTGACCGCTGGGGAGAACCGGGTAGAACACAGAGGTCTCCGGAGAGCTCCGCAAGCCGGCAGCCGCGCAGCAGACAGGCGCCGCTGCGATCAGAGATGCGTTGAGCTGCCGCTGGGGAGAACCGGGTGGGAAACATCGGTTTCCATCCGAGAGCTCCACAAATCGGCAGCTGTGCAGCAGACAGGCGCCGCTGCAATCAGAGATGCGTTGAGCTGCTAGCCTGGCAAGCCAGACTAAATAAATGTATTATTTAGTCTGGCCACTCTCCATTGACGGCTCGGTTGTGGGGCGGGTTCTACCGTTGTCTTTCAAATGATCTCCGCATTCCACTGGACAATGAATGTGACATTCTCTTGTTTCACTCTGTTGCATCATCCCACCCACCAGGCGTATAGAGTGCCCTGATTGGCCCACAAAGCGGATAAAGCTCTGTGATTTGTTCACTAAGCAGATAGAGCTCTATGATTGGCCCACCATTGTGGACCAATCACAGCTCTTTATGTGTTTGAAACCCTTCTAGAGAGCTGTGATTGGCCAGCCAGAGTCCTGGTAGGAGCTGCGGAGGTTCCAATGGAGCATGCCTAGACCATTCTTTGCAAAGCAAGAATTTGGTCTAGTTCACTAGGCTATTGAGCTGCAGTTTTCAGAACAGTTTTCAGGCTAGGCCGAGGCTTAGGCTGAGGCCTTTCCACTGAGCTAGCTCTGCGGTCACGTGGGTCTGATGCTCATTAATTATTCAGAATTTTAGGCTTTTAATACACTTAAACAGAAGAGTGACAAAAAAACTCACCCCCGTCAGAGTTGTCATGAGTGTAAACTAGATCATTTAAACAAAAAACATGTTTTGGTACCAGGCTGTAAACATGCTTATTTCTGCTGTGAAATTGGTATTTTTAACATGGGAGTCAATGAGGATTTGCTCGCTTCTGACACCAGCCCCCAGCGGATGAGGGTGGAACTGCAATTTTTGTTACTTCCGTGTTGGCTTCATTTTCATACCAGTATTATGGGGGCTTGGTTTGACCAAGCAGTTAAATGGCACAGCATTTCCCCATTCAGCCAGCAAAATAAAGTACAGAAATATAATTTTACTTACTGATGAAAAGAAGTAGAAACTGCTTGGATGGTCTGTCAGTAACCACAGCTTGCCCTTTGGTCCAGCTAATCCCATGATTAACATCCAGACACACACACACACACAGAGGACACAGCTAAAGTTCAGAGTTGAAATAACTGAACATAACGTGAGGCCGAGGCCTTTCTCTGGAGCTAGCTCTGAAGTCACGTGGCTCTGATGCTCATTAATTATTCAGATGTTTAAGTGTTTAACTCCACTTGAACAGAAGAGTAACTAAACCCCCACCCTCTCAGAGTTGTCATGGATGTAAACTAGATCTATTAAACCTAGAATGGTTTTTGAACCAGGCTGTTAACACGTTTATTTCTGCTGTGACATTGGCATTTTCAACATGGGAGTCTTCTGCTGCCAGCCCCTAGTGGATGAGAGGGGAACTGCTATTTTAGCTCCTCCTTGTGCAGACCCAAATGGCCCCTTGCTGTAGACCAGTGTTAATTTTGTAAATACATTTTTCTAACAGTTTTAGTTTTTGACTAAAATCTTTTTATTTTTAGTCAAAATTTTGCTGGTAGGTACTGTATGTATTTTTCTTCTGATGCAATCATTTTCACTTGTGTAAAGGAAATGTTAACTACACCTATTTGAAACTGTAAAGAAGTACCATGGCTTCCAAAAGCTCCTGAAACACTTGCTCGTTTCTCACCGCACCGTTGAGTTCACGCTGCTATCAAGGAGAGAACGTTTTTGACCTCTCCGTTGCTCCACGGAAGATTGGATTTGGGAGTAGAAGACATAGCTTGCTTCTCAAACAAACGCTGTTAGCAAATCAAGATGAGCGGATGTTCTGGAGTGGCTCTGGGCACTATTTTCTAACATCAGTCCACACACTCTGCCAGGCCAATCACGGTTGGTAGGCGGGAGTCTTTTACTGGCCAATCAGTGGCTAATGTGCGGACGGGGCCACATCAGGCTTGGCTGGACCTCCTGGGAGGAGGTCTGAAAAAAAGGTCGGGCCGGACAGGAAAATGCAGATTTGATGAAGATATGAACAAAAGTTACCCGTTCAGGTTCGTGCTGGGCCCAGATGTGAACACGCCATAAGCTACCGGTCTAGACTTGTAAAAACAGGAGTCGGTTTTTGGGGATGGTAAAGGTGCACAAGGCCTGTGTGAAGGTGCAGAACCAACGGTGAGGAGCTCTTTCATTCGTCCTGCTTTGAGGTTTTAAATGAACCTGAAACGTTTTAGTTTTTTAACCTCTGCTGGTGTGAAACCAGTCGCCCCTCTGGGATTATGATGAAAATAGTTTTATTTTTTTTATTTGCTCCCCAAAAAACCAAATCTGGACAGGACAAAACCACCTCCCATACAATCAAATACACACTTGTTGTTTGGAAACATAAGACATTTTCGTTTGAGGTGTTTCGGGTTTATTAAAGACATCCTTAATAAATATAGCACCATTTCAGAGGAGATGAGACATTCAAACAGAAGACACTTTACCTGCTTATCTTTCTGAAACTACCTGTAGTCCAGTCACATGATTAAAAATGAGGACTGTAGATGAGGAACCTCAGCCCTGCAGAGGAACCTTAAAGCAGTCTCTGATCTGATCTGATCTGAAACCAGCAGGTGTTGTATGAATGGAGACGGGCCTCAAACAGAAGATTGTGAGCATGTGTAGGTGTAGATCACAGCTGTGCAGATCCAGACTCTTCTGTGGTGAAGATCATGTCTCAACATAGAAAACCATAAAGATTTGGTAAAATGACGTCATACTATCTCTTCAGAAGGCAGCAGAGACACGTTCAAACGTTTTCTACCCAAATTTTCTTCTAAATAATATTTTTACTTGTAAGTAAATAACAGAGCTTTGGTTACAAAGCGGTTTTCCTGGAGTGACCAGCATGTGGCGCTGTTCTCAGTAACTGCTCAGATGCTGGTGTGGGCTGTGCTAGCTTATTACAACACACATCAGAATCACACGGAGCGTCTTCCTTTTCTTCTTTTCTACTTTTTCCTGAAGTTTCCCAGCTGGACACCCCTCCGGCTGATCACACAGCGGAAGGTGGCTGGCTGAATGTTCCAGTATTTAACGGGATTAGCGAACAGACTGATGGCTGAGTACGGGTTCTTCTTGATGCTCACAGACTTGGGACAAAAGTCATTGAATCCTACGTTGCTGATCTTGTTGCCGTGAAGGAAAATCGCCTGTTCAGAAGGAAAATCAGCTGTTATCCTGCTTGTTAGTTAGTTGGTTGGTTAGTAATGCTCTGTGGTTCCAGTTCAGGCGCCTCACAGGTTAGAGACTGATCTGTTTGGGTGACTCACCTGGAGGAAGCGCAGGGATCCCAGACCTGGTGGAACCTTCTTCAAACGGTTGTGATTCAGGTGGATCTCATGGATATTTGGGATGCTGGTGAAACTTCCGTTTTCAACAGACCGGATCTGGTTAAAGCCCAGTCCTAACCTGTAATAAAGCCAGCAGACTGTTAGTAGAACATCCAACTGTCCATGAAACTGAATCAGACAAGCAATCCCCAGACCCAGAGACCAGGAGTCATCTGGTCCACATCCAGGCTGAGCTCAGGATTCAATATCTGAAATGTGAAACTGAACCACAGTGAATCCACAGCTGTTACCTCTTCAGGTTTTTGTATCTCATCAAGTCCTCCACCTCCACCTTTGAGATCTTGTTGTAGTCCAGGCTGAGCTCGGTGATGGATGCTGGGAGGTCTAGGACGTGGAGTGCACCAGTGTTACCACAGCTGTAGACTTTAGCTTGTTGTGTTTGAAAGAGAGGACTGATGCTTACCTTTTGGCACCTCGGTCAGTTTGGCCTCGGCTATTCCGATGTAGAGGGTGGACAGGCCGTTAAAGGACCCCAGCTCCATCCCGCTGTTGGCCAGCGGGTTGGCTCCCAGCTCTGTTTGGACAAACACAAACATCTGCTGGAATCATTAGTGACTCAGCTGGATGATGGAGAACATGGGTGGACAGATTATAATCCCTCTGCTGTGATGGAAATCTCATCTGTTGCTTTTAGAGGTCAGAAAACACGGTTCCAGTCAGACAAAAGTAGTCGAACCTGGAGCCCTGATGCCCTGAACAGCTTTCTATTAGGAAACCATCAGCTTTCCTTCAGGAGCCAAATGTCCTTATTTCAGGTGTTGACGGGCGACACACACAGACACATGCACGCTGGGGGGTTTACCCAGCACATGCAGCTTCCTGAGGCCTTTGAAGGCATCCTTCTGGATTCTGTTGATGTTGTTTTCATGGAAGCGCAGCTCGATGATGTTGGGAGGCAGGTTCGCTGGGATCTCAGTCAGCAGATTGTAGGACAGATAAAGCAGTCTGAGGTGGTCCATGTTCCTGAAGGCCTTTGGGTGGATCTTGGAGATTTTGTTGTTGTTGAGAAACAGACCCTGTGTCAGGAAAAGAAGAGCTTTGTTGCAGATGGAAGTACGAAGCATGTGGATGGAAACACTTTTCATTAGCAGCCCTTATGCTTTAGTTTAAAGTTGTGCTCACCGAGATGTTTACAGCAAAACAATTTGAGAAGTCTCAGAAGAAGGGCCAAATATGTGACAGCAGGATCTGCTTACCCTCAGCTCTGCCCGCAGCTCATCATGTCTATCAGCTTAAATACCCAGTGTGTGTGTGTGTGTGTGTGTGTGTGTGTGTGTGTGTGTGTGTGTGTGTGTGTGTGTGTGTGACTGGTCACAGGACAGAATTCCTCCTTCTAGAACCAGGAGCTATTGGATTGAATCAGACTGGAATCATTGGCCGTTTCTCAGTATGCATACTCATCTGTACTTGTGAAACGTCATCAATGTCGGATCAAGTACACAATCCTCACACTTTCATGCAAGTATGCGCCGAGTTCCCGGATGTGTTCTTGCTCCACCCACTGTATCGAGGATGCATTTGATGTATGATGTGTGCAAGAACACACTTGTCCAGTACACAAGAAGGTACTAGCATTCTTGGGTACTGAGAAACGGCCATTGTCCTGCTCTGGATCTCATCCGTGCTCCTCAGTTTCCTTACATAAAGCTTGTTGAGGCCTTTAAAGTCATCTTCTTGTATTTCAGTGATGTCGTTGTTTTGGAGGTCGATCATCACCGTGTCTTCAGGAATCTTCTCTGGAACAGAAATCAGGCCTGAAAACAGAAACATGAAACCCTGATTACAGTCTAGATTGGAACCCAGTATCATCTGATCAGTCACTCTTGGGGTCTTCACATCTGGCCTGGCCCAGTCCGATCTTGTTAATGCTGGCTCGCCTGGCCAGGTTTTGTTCACACAGCCCTTCTCAGGATCGCGTATGTTTCCGAACACGTGGACAGGGCAAAAGATGTGCAGAGAAGTCTGGTGGGTTCTCCTTAAGTTAGTAAACAGGAGGCCATGAGCAGCGTTGCTTTTGGAGGCTCTGATATGAAGCACACAGCTTCCTACTGTCTCACTGAGACTGCGCTGTGCTCCTCACAGCAGTCTGTCCTCATGCTGCTGAGGCTGGAGCGGTGGTTCTGAGCAACAGTCAGAGATGTTTCTTCCTCTGCATCCAGACTGATAATGAATCAGCCAGCAGGCAGCCCCTCCTGGCTGATTTCACCCACCAATCAGAACCTCCCTCTAAAGCCTGGCGTGAACTTCAGCCGGCCAGTCAGACGGTCGATAGCGTGTGCGCTGGGTTGGTTTCGCATCAAGTGGGGGAGGTCCAGAAAAAATGGCCAGCTGAGAATGCACAGATTACCCAGATGTGAACACAATTAACCTACCAAGGCTGGACCGGGCCGACCCAGATGTGAAAGTCCAATTTGAGTGTCTCATGCAGGCTGAACATGAAAATAGTCTCCTACACCTACCTTCTGCAGTAGCTTCTGGTAGAAAATAGACGGTGAAACTCTAGGATTAGAAAAGTCTGACAGATCTACGTCACACTGTCACTTATGGAAAGCTAAATAAAACCCAATCAAATCATCTATAATGTGACTAAATCAATTAAAGATGGAAATAAAGAAAAATTAGTTAATTCTAACCAGATTATGGATTTTATTTAACTAAACAAATAGAACCAGAATGTGACCAACAGTATTAGTTCAGCACTGCGTCCTGACTTACTTAACAAACACAATTGAACTTGTTGGCCAGAGTATCTGTTGTACAGTTTGGTGCTGTATTGGCTTTCCAATTCAAGTATTTATGTATCTACAGTTAAAGAAGCACTTTGATTTTTAAGGGAAGAAATCTTGAGCAACAGTGAAAGCAAGTTCAGTTCAGCTTTAGAAAAACAGAAACATGTTATTTTTGTTTTGCTTTTGGTTGAATAAAGTCTTATGCATCCCAGTATTGTACAGTGGGATGTGGAGGTTTGGGCAGCCTTGTTAATCTTCAGGATTTTCCTGTATAAATCGTGGGTTGTTACGATGACAAACATTCCAGTGGAACATCTCATAGAGGAGACACACACAGTGATGCTGGAGAAGTGAAACCAATTTTACAGGATCTACAGAAAGCATCAGCTGTTTAAACACATTTGGACACTGTTGTCATTTTATTGACCCCAAAACCTTTAGAACAAATTATTAAAACTAAATGGGTTTGGTAAGCTCAGTGAGCCCTGACCTCCATACACAGCTGAATCCCGTCAGGAGAAAGAGCATCCAAGGGGCCAGCTGTAAGTTTCCCTCCTCTTTAATGTTCTCTAAAGAGCAGCAACACGGGGTCTCAAACATCTCCCACACGAGCTGAAAACAAAGACTGTTCTCCATCTTGGTTTAGGGAAGGGTCCAAAAAGCTGTCTCAGATCTCAGCTGTCTGGTTCCACAGTTAGGAACATGTTGAGGAAGTGGAAGACCACAGGCACAGTTCAAGTTACGGCTCCAAGTGGCAGACCAAGAAAAGAAGAGAAGAACGGTGAGAACAGTCAGAGTCCACCCACAGACCAGCACCAGGACCTACAGCATCATCTGGCTGCAGATCGTTCAGCTCCACAAGGAGAAGCTGTATGTGAGAGTGATGCAGAGGAAGCCTTTTCTCCACCCACAGCTCAAACAGAGCAGCTGGAGGTCTGCTAGAGCACATCTGGACTAGCCAGCTTCATTAACAAGGTGCTGTGGACTGCTGAAACTAAAATGGAGTTATTTGTGCAGAACAAGGGAACACAGCCTTCCAAGAATCACACCTGCTACCTACAGTAAAACACGGTGGTGGTTCCATCATGCTGTGGGCTGTGTGGCTGGTGCAGGGACTGGGAATCTTGTTAAAGATGAGGGACACATGGTGTCCACTCAGGATCAGCAGATTCTGGAGACCAATGTCCAGGAATCAGGGACAAAGATGAAGCTGCACCGGGGCTGGACCCGAAACCCTGCCCAACATCCACTCAGGTGTTCATGCAGAAGAACAAGTAGAACGTTCTGGAACGGCCATCTCATTCCCCAGACCTAAATATTATTGAACATCTGTGGTGTGAGTTAGAGAGCTGTCCATGCTCAGAAGCATCAGACCTGGATGAACTGGAGATGTTCTGTAAAGAAGAACGGTCCAGAAGACCTTCAGCCAGAATCCAGACTCATTGGAAGATTTAGGAAGTGTTTAGAGGTTGTTGTTGCTGCTGAGGTGAAGCTTCTAAATAAAGAAGTCTCCTGTGTGGGAATACTTTAGATATTTTATATTTCCACACAGGAGACTTAAACTTGGTGGAAATGGAGCAGTCCCAGCGGTTGTCATCTCTGCTTCTGCTGCGTGAACGTATTCACTCTACTTTTGTTTTTGTCCGAGTGGGTCACACTATTTTTCTGTCTTTATAGGGGGTCGTTAACCAGGCTAATAGACAAACCGATTAATCCCTGCAACCCTAGTGTCTAGTGACATGGACTTGTTTTGTGTTGACTGAATATTTAAGTTCTCTTCTTTTTTATTATTGAACAGTTCAGAGTACAATAAAAGACTCGTGTTTGTTTTAAAAATGTTGATGATTTCAGATATTTTAGCTCGTTTTCTTTCTCTGCTCAAACAAATCTCTCTGATCGTCCTTCCCACGCCTAGCTCGGGTTAACCAGTCAGGTTCTGATTAACGGGTTGATGTGGTTCCTGTAGAAGATAGGTAGGTGCCACTGGGAAAACAGTGGCCACGTCAGCAAACTTGAAGATAATAAAAATAAATCATCCTAAATAAAATTAGCTGTTAATCCAGTTTTGGATATTCTTTTAGTTTTTTATTTGAGCTAAAACATCAGAAACCTTCTACAGAACTTCTGTTAATGGAAGGTTCAAAAGTGACCAGTCAGAGGACAGCAGGGCCCCGCTTATATCGGAGTCTTCGGTTGAATCTTCAGACCTGGATCCTTGGGTCTGAATCTTCAGACCCAAGGATCCAGGTCTGAATCTTCAGACCTGGATCCTAGGATCTGGATCCTCAGACCTGGATCCTTGGGTCTGGATCCTCGGGTCTGGAGACCAGAATCAAATTTGAAAGCAAGAAAAGACATGTTTTTTTAGCTGAAAGCAGGAACAGGTAGGGTATTCAGACCCTGATCGGAGCACTGCACCACTCCTGGAGAACACCGACAGTGGGCGGGACAGTCTTCGTCATCATAATCATCATCGTCTTCATCTTCATCAGAGTCTGCCATCATGATGTCATAGCTCTTCATGAGGTCCATTATGTTGATGGGCTGGTAGGGTTTACTGCTGCCTAAAGTCAGCAGGCAGAACAAGAGGAGGACCTTCATGGTTCTGATCAGATCCACAAGCAGGAGCTGCTGGAGAAGAAAGGGGAGGTTAGCTCAAGAACCAGAACCACAACAGACGACATTTCCTTGTTACGTTTTTGTTTATAAACTACAAAGTTTGAATTGTAATAGACTTAATGGACTTTCAGACCCAGTTTTGTGTGTGAGCAGCTTTAGAAATGATGCTCTGATCATTACAGCATCTTTGGCTGTGGTAGGATCTCCATCCCCAATGACTTTCATCTGATTACTTGAAAAAGGTTTCAGGGCATGATCAATATCAGAACCAGCGTCTCACTTATGAAACTATCCTAAAACGCTACATAAGCTCAGAAAAAGATTTACTAATACAAACTTATTATCCAGCCTAAACTCTGCTGCAGCAGTTCCTGTTTTGTAAACCACACCTGGAGGGGGCCATCGGCTAGCACATTGCTGCTAACCACTTAAACATTCTCCCTCTCCTGATAATATTTTACTCTCTTTATATTGAATGTGCTACTACTAGTTTACCCGTTTAATTATAGATTCACTAGGATAAATACAATAAAGTTTATCTCTCACCAAATCGAATATTTACTAAGAAATCACAATGTAACCATAGAAACACTACTTGGTATATATGTTTTGTGTGTGTGTGTGTGTGTGTGCGCGCGTATATGTGTGTGTGTGTGTCTGCTCTGTCTTCTCCATCCCCAGTGAGTCATGGTGGATGGCTGCTTATACTTTCTTTCTTTCTTTCTTTCTTTCTTTCTTTCTTTCTTGTTAAAAGGGAGTTTTCCTCTCCACTGTCGCTGCATGCTTACTTTGTATGAGGATTGCTGTGAAGACTCCGACACTAGTCAGTGACTCGATGCAACCTGCTGGGTTCCTTATATAGGAAACTTTTTACTGACTGGTTTAATGAAGTGACCTGGATTGGAATGTTTACTGCGTGAAGGTCCTTGAGACGACTCTGGCCCTGATTTGGCGCTTTATAAACAAACTTGAGTTGAATTGAACCTGCCCTAGAGATGAGCTCAGGTGTTTGATCACCGTATCCTGCCCTCTACACACCCACTTTTTGCCATAAATGGTCAATTCAGAGGACCTTATGATTATTCTGGATATAAATAAGCTTCATGAGTAACCATGGCAAGTCAGTGGTCTACATAATGCATTTTCACTGAGACTGAAATCGAAGGGCTTGTGGGGGAGGTAGAGGTTTTATTGCCTTCCAGCAGCACCGCGTTGTTGCAGTGGTGAGATGTGGAGCCGCAGTGAGAACCTGGGGTGGACATTGTTCCTAGTATCAAACGCATATCAGCCTGCTGAAATGAGCAGGTGATCGGTCAGTCTCACACTGGCCCACTTCAGCACATAGATCTAACAGGACTGCTGTAGGGAATCTAAATCAGCTGATCAGCCAGTCATCATCATGGGCCTGGAGATCATCATGGTCTCTAGTAACTCTTCCCTCTGGATTGTTTCCTTGGGGGAATCTTCAAAGTGCCATTGCACTCATTCTGAAGCTTTATGCACGGGTTTCATTGCAGTATTTATACATTTGCTAGTGATCTAACGGACCGCCAATTTACACCAGGCGTGTGAGCTGCACCTAATGGTATTGGTGCGGTCTCCGCGGCTGATAGAAGTCAAGTTTTTGGTTTAGTTTACGTTGTTTGGCTATGTTGTAGCTCATCACCACCAGGGAGTGAGTGTGTGTGTAAATCATCCACACATATACCAGACAATTCGTGTCCATAGGCTCGAATTATAAGTTTTTGTGCCCAAATGGGAGGTTCCCACCACCGTGTCACAAGTCCCATCATGCCCAGACAATCCAAAAATTGGAAAAGAGGTAGAGCTAAGGGTGGGGCTGTTATGTTTGGAACAGGGTTGGAACAAATTAGCTAGTGGAGCTACTAGCTAACTTAGCTAACCCAAGAGGCTAAGAAGGGCTCTCTCACCCGCACGGCAGACTGGCTCCCGTGCTAGGCTGTAGTCATGCTGGTCGCCTCACCCTTAGACTACTGCAACTCTCTTTTCACGTGTCTGAGCAGAACCTCCCTGAACCGTCTACAGGTGGTTCAGAATGCCTGTGCTCGGCTTCTGACCAAGTCCTCCAAACACACCCACATCACCCCTCTTCTCCTCCAGCTTCACTGGCTGCCAGTCAACTTCAGGGTTCATTTCAAGATCCTGGTTCTGGTCTATAGGGCCTTACATGGAACCAGCACCATCATACATTGGTGATCTTCTCAGTCCCTACACCCCCATCAGGTCCCTGAGTTCCAGTGACCAAAGCCTACTGGTTGTGCAGCACCAGGCTAAAGGTCAAAAGTGACAGATCATCTGCTGCTGTGGCCCCCAGACTCTGGACTTCTCTCCCCCTGAGCCTGAGATCAGTGGACTCAGTGGTCTCCTTTAAACTCACCTGTTCAGGCTTTGGTGGGACCTTCATCACCCTCTCCTTGTTCTGCTCTCCCTACCTATTCCACCTTCCCAGGAACCCACTGATTTCCCTCTTTCCTATTCACTCGCTCTCTTTTTCTTTACATTTTTAAATCACAGTTGTCTATATATTTTCATTTTAAACATGCTTTTAATCATTTTTAAAAACCTTTTTCATATTAAAAATTTTTTGTTTATGTGAAGCGCCTCGTGATTTTTGTCTTGAGAGGCGTTATAGAAAAGATTGTTTTCTTTCTTTCTTTCTTTCTTTCTTTCTTTCTTTCTTTCTTTCTTTCTTTCTTTCTTTCTTTCTTTCTTTCTTAATTTCTTTCAAGATCTAATATGGACTGGAACTGTTAAATTACAAGCACAGCCTCAACCCGCTGCGATCAAAGCCGGGCATCATGGACATCAGCTCTTGCTCCATAGTCGGAGATCAGTGGGACATTAGCTACATGCTAACCCAAAGTTTTTCTGCCCGTTTTCAGCAAGAAAAACAAGGTGCTACAACATCTTCCCCTACCCTCCCCCTGGCCCTTTTTTGCCAGTCGGTGGAGCCTCAGTTTGCCTGCATATCTGCAGCTCTCGTGTCGGGGTGCACATTTTTTGGGAATCTGTGAGATCGCTCCCGATGGCTGCCTGGTGGGGTCTGGATCCCTGGGCTCTGTCGGGTCCCCGGCGGGGATGGATGCCCTTGGGTCCTGGGCTGCTGTGTTCTGAGCTTGGCCAGCTCGGGGGTGGGCGGCTGCGGGCTTGCCGTTGTTACCTCCCAGGGCTCTGGCGGCTGCTGGTTGTGAACCCAGGGGTAATCCTCTGCGCCTTTAGGCAGGGGGGTTGGGGCTTCTCTGGCGGCTGTCTCCCTGGGGTTCCTGCTATTCAAGGAGTCCCATGGATCTCTAGGGTCTGGAACTCCTCCATCTCCAACACATCTTTGGGGGCAGATCTGTGGCCCCTCACACTCTCTATTGGACGCTCCTACAGAGAAACCTTACATATTCAAGCGCATGTACACACACACAGGTGCTCACATGGTGCTCTCATAATGATGGACTTGGGCATTTTCAACACATCTTAAGGCTGTGGTTGGCACTAAATGCACTGTGATTTATTATTGTGTGTTTTTCGGCAAAATGGTTACTATTATAAATCCTCATGTTGTTGGTACAGTGATATTTTGGTCTTGTATTTTTGCGTGTCTCCTTTTCTCTGTCTCTTTCTGCAGGTCTAGAAGCAGATTCTTGTTCATCATTTATTGGTTACTTTTGTGAACCCCCCCACTTCCTTCTCTCTCTCCTTTTCTCTTACACTTCGATCTCAGTGTCCTTTGGCGTTTAAAACATCCGAAAAATATTTCTAATAGAGTTTTGGTGTCAGGAGCAGTGCTATAGCAGCAGCAAGAACGCTCCACCTGCAGGGTTTCCCCTAGAAAATGAGGGGCAGATTGGGGGGGGGGGATTGCGCGCTCCGTCCCGCAGCGCTTCTCCGTGAGAGTGGGGGTGGTTGCACACGTTCCGCTGCTGTTTCTCACCAGTATCAGCTGATGGAGGGCTCTAGTTTCGTTGCGCCGTTCGTGTCAGGGGACACGGTAGGGTCGGGGCATGACACTTAGCCTGGAGGGTGGCCAAGCATAGCCTGGCAAGCCGCCAGGCTTATAAAGCGCTGGGATAAACCCTGAACTGTGAGGATAAAACTGTAAGACTTTTCTTCAGCATTCAGACATCAGCTCTGCTTGCTTCACAGCCAGACAGGACACGGTTAAAAAATAAGATAAAGGGGACGTCACTTGTCTCATCCAATCATATTTGCCAAACTTCAGCAATCCTAGCTGCTAGCCTACGACGGAGCAGGTTTTTTTCTCCAGCATGTGTTACAATGGTGAATGGGAGGGGCTTCAGGCTAGCCACGTTCGTAAAACTCCTTTAGGGGCGGTTAAACCGGGATTCTCAAAAGAAAACCTAGTTTTGGGATTAGCTCGCTTTCTGGCACAGACCCCCGATCTGTTTAACAGGCTTTAATCTTTGAGGGTCTTTCACATTTTGGAGTATCTCAGGGACTTGAGCTCTAGTGAAAGTGGGAGGGGTCTGGCTAAGTCAGGGGAGGAGCTATAGATTTACTCATTGACCAGCGTTCCAATCCTCACCGATGGACATAAGCTTTGGGTACCAGCCTAAGATATTACTAAAACAAGAGAGAAAGGAAAGGCAACTCTGGGGTTCTGGAAGGATCCTGTCCTCTACCTGACCTGAAACCAACTCATCCTCTGAGGTGGTTTCTGCCTCTGGTTCTCTTGCCAGCCCTGATAGATTCTCAGCCCCTCTCGTTAGCCTGAAGTCCACCCACAAAAATGTGATAGTGGTCGAGGGTTCTGCTTCCACAGCAAATACTGCAGCAGAAAGACCTCCTCTGCACCCCCAGCTTCTTTGTTATGTGGCAGAAACAAACTGGACGTTTCAACCACATCTCTGCAATTTAAAATTTCTTAATGTTCACAAGTTCTCAAATAGTTCTTTGTCCTACAAATATGGAAACAATTCTCCTTTCTTGATCATTGCTGTAAAAATCTAAATCCATATTCATGTTTTGTTTAAATCATAGAGTTATGTGTTTTTCCTCTGCTGTAAAATCATTAAATCAAGTTTCAGCAGGTAAAACTTAAACCCACCCGCCTCCACACCTCGCTCTGCAGATTCAGCATCGCTCAAAATGTTATGCAAATCAAACTCTTGTGAAAAATAAAGTGAGGATTATCAGACTGTTGAAACAGAAGCTTGTACCTGTACCTGCTTTAGTGTGATCCTGCAGAAAACAGAGCTGTCAGTAAATCCAGGTGTGTCAGTTTAAACTCCTCTCCGTGAACAGACCAGCAGCTGGAAGCAGTCAGATTGTTCTCTGTGTATGAAGAAAAGCATCACCCTCTCTCCCCAGCTGAGGAGCTGCCCCCACCACCAATGGAAAACCTCCTCCGTGTGGGTTTGAGCTTCAGAGCTTTGGGTTTCAGACCTGCTCTGCTGGGGAAAGTCATGTGCTTTGTACTTAGATGCAATGCCAGGATGGTTACCTTCATTCTGCAACCAACATCATGGGTAGACCAGACCGGACTGGACTGGACCGAACTGGCACCAAGGCTGGCTCTGGAGTCATAATCAGTGTGAATCACTCTCAGCTACAAAGTTCCTGTTGATTAGTGGTGGCAGCCATCTTTAATCAAATCGACTCCAGCCATTAATCAGCTGTAGGTGTCCACCCAGACTTTCAGGAGATGTCTAGCTGACAGTCTCTATTGTTGCCATAGTTACCCGGGAAAACAAGTACTATTGACCTTTCCTTATGAATCCACAGTTTGATATGAACCCGAAAGACACTTAACCCACCCTGCCTGCTGGTGATTGGGCCGGTGGCGCCTGTGCTTGGTAGCCTCACATCTGTCAGTGCGCACCAGGGCAGCTGCGGCTACGACGTAGCTCATCACCACCAGCATATGAATGGGTGACTAACTGATTGTGTTGTGAAGCGCCTTGGGGGGTTGTAGAATCCTAGATGGCACTATACAAATATAGACCCTTTACCATATATGAATGACTTTTTCAATGCTCTTTCATTTTAATCATGTTGGGGTTATTATTGTTATGACTAGTACAGATAAATCAGTTAAGCTTTATTTATGAAGCACTTTAAACATATGGAGTGACCAAAGTGCTGTACATAGTAAAAAAAAAAAAAAAGAACCATAAAAAGACATATCGCCAACAATAAAAGAGAAATTAAAATAAAACAGTCTGAGGATTTCTGCTCATTCGGTATTAAAAGCCAAGCTAAAAATAGGTTTAATATGAAACTTAAAGTCATCCATGGTTGCAGCCGACCTAACAACCAAAGGGAGATAGCTGAAAAGACCCTGTCTTCCCGGGTCGCCATGTGAGTCCTGGGAACTTCCTCAGACCTCTCCTGGAAACATGCCTGTGCAAGCTCGCATAGGTACAGGGGCGTAGCACCAAATTCTGGGCCCTGTACACTCTCAATGTCATTGGGCCCCATTCGGCACACGAACATAAAAGCGGTTTTATTTGGGGAAAACGAACACTGACATAACATCTGGTTCTATTTTCCCATCTTTCGTTGGCATTAACAATATAATGAAACAAATTGACACAAAGGGGGCCCAATGTTTTCTAAATAAAAACGGGGGAGGGAACCAATGTTTTCTAAATAAAAACGGGAGGGAATCATGGGCCCCTCTCCCCTCTTGGGCCCTGGGTAGTCAGGTCCACTTTTCCCCCCAGTCCGACGCCCCTGGATAGGTATGAGGATGCCTGACCTTTAGCACATTTTAAAACCAAGATTAGAATTTTAGAATCAATCCTAAAATGTACAGGCAGCCAGTGTGGGGAGGACAGGACAGGAGTGATGTGGATGCATCGCCTGCTACCTGTGAGCAGACGAGCAGCAGAATTCTGAACCAGTTATAGGCGCCGCACAAGAGAGGCCTCTAACTCAACGTAGAAAGGATTACAGTAGTCCACTCTGGAACTTATTAAAGCATGAACCACTGTTTCAAGGCTTTCATACAGCAAGTATGACTTGACTTTGCTTATTAACCTCAAATAGTAAAAACTTGACTGAACCACTGCACTAACTTGTTTGTCAAATGTAAAACCATTATCAAAAAGCACCCCCGGGATCCTGGCGACTGTACAATTAAAAGAACATAAAGGACGAGTAGAACTGCTTCATTCCAAGAGCAGGGGCCTCATTTATCAAGCTGTCTTACGCACAAAACGGGGTCAGAAAGCTGCAAAAGCAACTTTCCATGCAAAATTTGGGATTTATGAAAGAAAACTTAGCGGAAAAATGTGCGCAACTTTAAGTTGACTAAGGACCTTGCTTACGCACATTTCGGACATGGAGAGCACCTGCAGTGCTGCTTCTGAGAAGGATACAATTATGATTTCCAGCAGCTTTATCACTTATACCCCCCCCCCCCCCCCCCACACACACACACACACACACACACACATGCATACGCACACACACACACAGCCTGAAGCGCAGAATACGTAATGCTGAATATCAGCAGGGGGACAGATTGAGACAGAATGTCATGCGTCTGTGACAGTGTGTGTCTTGTCACTGTGACCCGATTGGTCATGTGACTTGGCTATTTAGTCAAGGAAGATCTCCATTTGGCTGACTGGTTAGCGTGCGTGACTGTCACCCAGGAGTCCGGGGATCGAATCCTGATTGGACAATTTTATTATATCTGACACAGATCTCTCTGAAGAACTCACAGCATGGCACAACTTCAGCAACGCTGTGCCACTCCATGGATTTTTTTCTTATTTGTTTTGCAAAAGCACTTCCTTTCATTTCTCCGCCTCACCCACAAGTACCTCAATTTCTGCTTGTGAAGTAGCGCTTCCTTGATCTGCTGTCGGGATCGAAATGCTGCAACGAGCCAGTTTATGTATATGTATGAGATCCACAAGGCACTTTGCATTGACTATTTATGGCAGTAAGTGGAAGTGGTGAGGGCGGGATGTGACTGAAAGGCAGCTGAGAAACATTCTCGTTCGTCTCTGATTTATAAAGCGGAGATTGCGTGCAGCTGTGCATACTCCATGTTTGATAAATCACAAACCTACTTGGCGTAAGTACTTTTTTTTTGCTGAGCTTATGTATGGTTTTAGTAAGGATTCTACGCAATGTTTGATAAGTGAGACCCCAGGTCATTTTCCTCAAAAACTAACAGTTCAGTCTAATTTTCATTCAAATGTAAAAAGTTCAATTCCATCCAAGCTCTAATGTCAGCCCCATGCTTCCTTATGAGAAGACGTGGGTCTGGGAGCTCTCCTATTCAAATAACCCCACCCCCTGACAATTCTAACCGAGCCAGTCAGCATGGGGCAGCGTACGTCAAACACCGCGACGCCGAGTTTGTCATAAACATGGCGACTGAAGCGGAGTTCGCTGCGGCTCTTTCCTCTGTTCTAAATGACTTGGACACTTCTTTAAAACAAAAGTAGAAGTGCCAAAAACCTTTCTTCTAAAGAAAGTTGTCTGCGCCTTTGCCAGATGCCATTTTTGACTACAGCTAAAAAACTACAGCATCGTGGGCGTCACACACAGCGACGCTCAGTTTCTCATAAACAACAAAGAGCGGCGGAGTTCGCTGCGGATTAAATACCACAGCGTCGCACGGTGCAGTCGGAATTTCTGCCTTTTTCTGATTGGTTATTTTTGGGCTGGCTAGTCCCGCCCCTCACGTGCCTCTCTGTCTGTGAGTAGCCAGCCTAGTTCTCTGTGTAGAATATAGGACGAGTCTGGCAAGCCAGGCTAGCCAGTCGATCCCAATGGGAGGTAAATTTGCTGATCATTTGCAAAGCCGTGGAGCGCCAGATGATGTGCTGCTGCTGTCCTGCCTCTACAAAAGAACAGTTGCACAACATTTTGGCCTTTTGGTTGTGGAGTTTTCTTTACATATGTTCCCAAATGGAGCTGGAACCAGCTGGCATTATCTCATCCATCTGGTAGGTTTCCAGAATACTGCCCAACTTGTTCAGGCAGACGTTTGCAGAAGACTGTGACTGAAAGGAGATGTCCTTGAGCATTAAAACAACAATGAGACAGAGATGGTGCTCTGAAACAGCAGGCCATGTACTCTCATCGCCTTAATGAGGCACAACAGGAAATCCTCCAACTTTACGTTGGAGACAGGAATGAGAAATACCTCCCAGAAATGGAAAAGCTAACAGAAGCAGACTCCCTCAGGGTTCATGTTTCCATCCACTGCTGCTGGTTTCTGCTGAGCTGAGCTGAAACTGCTTCATTTACTGCAGACCCAGACTGTTCCAATGCTAGGTCCTGGTTTGGCACTGGGTAGAGTGGGATTGGATCTGTTTTCTAGTTTCTGAGAGGAGAAATCATAGTTTCCAAACCACCACATGTCTGTTTATAGCATCATGTTATCAAGATTTTCTCAACATGGATCTAAATTCAATACAGCAAATTTTATTTGTTGTTTTAAATTAAAACAAAAGAACTGAAAGGTTTTTATTTCAAATGAGCTTGTGTTGAATAAAGATGCTCATTTGTTTCACTTCAACAGATTAAACACAAATCCTTTCAGCTCCAAAGGTTCAGTCAATAAAATGTACAGACGACATTATCAGTCAGTAAAATATACCAATGACATCATCAGTCAGTAAAATATACCAATGACATCATCAATCCGTAAACTTTACCAACATCATCAGGCGGTAAATAATACCATCAACATCATCAGGCTGTAAAATATACCAACGACATCATCAGGCGGTAAACTATACTGACATCAGTTGGTAAATTAAACCAACATCCTCATCAGGCGGTAAACTATACTGACATCAGTTGGTAAATTATACCAACATCCTCATCAGGCGGTAAACTATACTGACATCAGTTGGTAAATTATACCAACATCCTCATCAGGCGGTAAACTATACTGACATCAGTTGGTAAATTATACCAACATCCTCATCAGGCGGTAAACTATACCAATGACATCGTCAGTCAGTAAAAATACCAATGACGTCATCAGTTGGTAAATTATACCAATTACATCATCAGTCAGTAAAATATACCAACAACAACATCAGTCGGTAAATTATATCAATGACATCATCAGTCGGTAAACTATACCAACGACATAATCAGTCAGTAAAATATACCAACAACACCATCCGTCGGTAAATTATACCAGTGATATCATCAGTCAGTAAACTATACCAATGACATAATCAGTCAGTTAAATATACCAACAACACCATCCGTCGGTAAATTATACCAGTGATATCATCAGTCAGTAAACTATACCAATGACATAATCAGTCAGTTAAATATACCACGACATAGTCAGTCAGTAAAATATACCAATGACATCATCGGGTGGTAAACTATACCAACGTCATCATCAGGAGGTCAAATATACCAACGACATCATCAATCGGTAAAAGTTTGGTTCCTGCC